ATACATGGCTACTTTTTTCTTCATTAAAAACAACAATATCTCTAAATGTGAACTTGTAGGAAGGAATGAGATGCACAGTCAATTTGGCAGAATAAGTCTCCAAAGTGCAATCATAATTTCAATGTTATGTTTCTTGATTTTTATGAAAAAATATATACTAACAGCACAATATTAAGAACTGGAGTTACATAAAGAAGAGAGAAGAAAGTAAAATTCTGGTTAATGCTAATAAAATTTTTCTAACACATCCAAAATTTCTACCACTATTAGCAATATAAAATGTTTGCTACTCCTATTCTGACATCTAGCTTTGGGATCCTAGTCATAAAATTTCCTCTGATTAGTTATAGTCCAAGGACTATACATGGTTTAGGAGTATTTTTAAGATGAGAGAAACAGAGTATTAGACATTTAACTCATATAGTTGTTATTTTAACATCCTATCCATCTTGTCTAGTTATATGCTTCTATTTCTTGCTACTAACCACTGGTCATCTCAGGATACTTTAATAGTAAAAAAAGAATGAAACTGAATTGTTGGGAGTACTTTGAATCACGAACAGGCAAGGCACATGTCAGAAAGTCAGCAAGGGATCAAGTAATCAAAGGATTATTCTATAATAACTCATATATGAAGTAGTTGGCTATCTTCTTCATTCACTTATTTATATCTATATTTATAGCATTAACTGTCTACTATGACAAATAACTACACATTACTCTAAAATGGCAGTGGTCTTATTTACCTTCAGACATGTTAACTGACACTGTAACTGGAAAAAATCAATGGTATCCAAACTGAGCCAAATAACTGTTTCAAATATTAGGAACCTACTTTCAGTCTTTCACTGCTTGGAAATAGCAAACTTGAGAAATTATAATACATGCTGAAAAGGCCACCAACACTATAATTAGATACACTAGCTGTAATGATAATAACTTTGTCCCTGCAGCAGTTAAATTATTTAGAGCCAAGGTACTAAGCCTTCTGCTGTATGGCACACAACCCTTTGCCTACAAAGATGTAAATCAAAATTTTAAAGAACTATGCTTCGCTTGTCTTAATCTGCGCCAAACTATCTTATACGGCTGGAAATGGATTGTGGTTGTGAGGAGGCCCATATGAGAACTGGACATTTGAAATACAGGTTAGAACAACTTTTTCTGGGGTCAGACTCTAGCCCATGCAATCCTTGCTGATAAATTAAACTCTAGGAAAAATAGTACAATCTTTTATTTATCCTACTAGCCTTTCACACCAAGTGATTGGCCAGAGAAAGATATCTTAAAGGTCAGAGTCATGATTTGGACTTAAAGAACATATTCAAAGTTTCAAACAATTGTTACAAGGGTTTCTGTAACAGACCTTTCACTATTTGGAATTTTCTAACATCCCCTCTGTCTCGTACAGAAGGGCATTCGTACTAGCAAGATTTATCAAGGATGTTGGCGGGAAAATTCAGTAACATCACATCATTATTAAGACAACAGGATAATTTTGTACATCACATATTGCTATGTTGCTCTCTGTGCAATACATGATAGTCAGAGTTATATCCTTATGTGAAAGTTGGCATGAAATGGAGCTTCTGCTAGCAGACTGGTCTATCTAAATTTCTTTGAAAGTTATTAAATTGTGTTCAATTGCGACTGCTGTGAAAAGATACTGGTTTTAATTTATCTTCAGGTTTGGATCTGAGCTACATAAATTGGTCTACAAAAAGTCAATATTTAGTGTCTACTACTACTACCACTCTAATACGTTAATTCTTCATTGCAATTATTATTTTTAATGTATAATATAGTTTTTTGTCTCTGTAAACTAATAAATAGCTTTCTTTTTTCATTCTGCACAGTTAAGAGAAGGCCTTAATGATATTAATAATTGCCAAAGGAAATAATAGTTTTAACATAGGTTTTAAAAAGTGTTTATCAACAAACATTGCAACAGAAAAACTGAGCAACCACAAAACCACTGAATCTGTTCAGAATAAAAAAGTAATATAAGGCAAGCTGGCCTTCATCACTATAATAGCAGATTGGAGAAAACCACATGAAATTCATTCAACAGTGCTCTGGTTGTGTGAACACACTTCAGCTCTTAGTCACACAAATAACATGACAGGAATTTCTTTTGGCCAAGCTATCAATTTATACCTGTTGATTTATGTCTGGCTTAAATTTAATATGCAAAAAGAACAATTATATGGTAGGTTTCAGCTGATACTCGTTTTGTAACATAGGAAAACCACATAATGGCATCATCAGTCTTTAGATCCCACTGCAATTGAAGAACAGTTTACAACACAGAGATGCACCAACTCTCATGTCTTTGGTCAACTAAATTGCCAAACAACTCCACATAAGAAATCCAGCTGAATTCAGATCTATCATGGAAAAAACTGCATAAAGGACAAAATGACAACCCAATGAGAAAGACATACCTTGATATCTGTATGTCAAATTCTTGCCCACATTCTTAACATATATACATTATGATACATAGCTAACTATAATACTTTCAAATTTTATTATATTTAGTAGATTTAACTGCAGTCTCAAGATAAAAATTGAGATTGAGGATCCCCACTAAGAGGTGAATTAATGAACACTAATAATTTCTTATAATTCAGAGCCCTACAAAAACAAAAGCTATATTTTGGAAATGTCTAAGATAAAACTCTAAAGTGCAAGATCTGCTTATAATAAGCAAGAACTTATAATTTGCAAGAACCTGTAAATTGATCTAGCACTGCAACTGAAATTAGAGACAGAAGTGACCTAGTAGGATAGTAATCGTAGTCTCAACCTCAATAGATCTGTTTTTGAACTAGTGTTGTAATGGTAATGCATTTCTAACTTCAACACAGTGCTACTTCTCTTGAAATGGTTAGAGATTAGGCATTCATCACAAACGCGTATTACTGAAAAGCAGAGAATTTAGACAAAATTTTGAGAATGTGACATTTTTGCTGGTACATTACACTACATTAGTGTTATTTCATTTTTTAAAAAATAGAAAAACTACTGTACTCCACTGTGATACGCAAGTATCTATCTAAATACTTTACGGTATTTAAATAAAAATAGGGGGGAACCCTCTAAAATATATTACCGGGCAACCAATATTCAATGAAATGGGATTTACGTCTGAGAATCACATTATCAACTAAATATAAGATCTCTCTTCAGTGATTATGTTTTACCTTAAACCCTGCATATAATTCGCATAGATTGGGCAATCCATAAAATGCAAGTACTATAGTAGATGATATTTATTTCAAAATACAAAATGATGCCCAACAGAAGTGGAATATAGACATAAGATCCTGATAGGTAAAATCCAGGCCAAAAAGGATCCATAATCTCATTGTGATCAACTATTTATATGCTTTCATTGTGCAAAATATCATAGTCTTTAATATAATGATGCCCTCTATTAAAAAAAAAAATCCTTAACCATTCATTGGGCTATAAGATGAAGATAAAAGCAAAAAAAAAAAAAAAATTACATCTAAGACTATTTCTTCTATGACCTTCCATTGCCTCATAATACTTAACCAGCATGGCAGTTTCTTAACAATGGATGACATTACTCAGACATGGTGAATTATCTAGGCCCATCTGAATGGCAACTTTCACTTTATTAGATTTGAGACTAGTTAAGCCTGTGCTATTTCACTGTCCTGGTTATGATAACTTAAGCAGACCCTTAGATTTCTGTAATAGATGTTCTATAGCTATATTGCCATACCACTAAGGAGAACAGCAGCCACTGTTTTATTGGAAACCACAGGGGGCATAACCCTTAAGTGGGTGGTAAATGCTCTCCAGGTGGCAGAAGAGGAGACAGTCTTAAAACGTGGAGGGGGGAGGGGAAAACCTATCCTTCTTGCCTGATTATCATACAATTGTATGCAGAGTTACAAACAGGCAAAACATTAACTGCAGCACCCAGCAACTTTTGAGCGCAGTCTACTTTAAGGGAAAGAAATATTCTAACTTAAAAGACTTCCATTCTCTGGCACAATTAGATGTTTTGTATGCTTCAGGGTATTCTGGAGTTTTCAGAGGACAGGGGAGTTTTAAGAAAAAACACCTTTACAACAGACTCCTTTCCCATAATGTCACTATGTTAAAGGAGAAGCCATTGAACTATAGTTGGAACACTGATGACTCTTTTCTTAATGGAATGCTCATCCCCAATTTCTACCTGTCATCAGGTCAGGAGGCTGGCAATCCGAAGTTATCAATAATATGCATTGTATTTCATAATAATAATAATAATAATAATAATGATGATGATGATGATGAAGAAGAAGAAGAAGAAGAAGAAGAAGAAGAAGAAGAAGAAGAAGAAAGAAGAAGAAGAAGAAGAAGAAGAAGAAGAAGAAGAAGAAGAAGAAGACGTTCCTACAGTTAACGTTCTTTGGAAGAGAAAGGATTCCGGTTTTATTAGTGTCCTTTCTCCCCCCCCCTCCCCCTTTAAAGAAAGAGGGTGAGATTAAGGGAGAGAGGCAGAGGACACCTTGGGCAGACGAAGAGCAATTCTCTCCCCATCCCTGGAGTGGGTGAGACGGAAGGCGGGGGGGGGGGAATACTTTTCCACTCAGTCCCACCTTTCCTTTCAGGTCAGGGGCCTTGCCCTTAGCCCTGCCCGGGTCCCTGGAGGTCCCTCTCCCTCTTGGGAGAGCGCCCGCTAAGCCTTTTAGTTGAGGAAAGTTGGAAGGAGGAAGAGGAGGAGGAGGAGGAGAAGGAGGAGGACCACTTCCAGGAAGCGGGGCGCTCTCTTCGGGCGGAGGAAGGCAGGACAGACGGGCAAGTCTCCCAAGAGCGGGAGACCGCCGGATGAAAAAAAAAAAAAAAGGAGAAGAGGAGGAGGAGGAGGAGGAGGCGAGGGCCCCTCCCGGCTTCCCTCCTCATTGTGAGAAGCAGCTGCCTCTGCTCGCTTCTCTTCCCCGCCTCGGCCAAGAACAGCCCAGCCCCTCCGCCGCTCTCACCTCCGGTGCCGTCCGAGTTCTCATTGAGGCTGCCCGAAGAGTCGTGGTGAGAGCCCACACACCCGCCCATGGGGCCCGGCCGTCCCGGCCCGGAGACCCCCCCGCCCCTCCTCCTCCGCCTGCTCGCCGCCCGAGCTTCTCCGTCGTTGTCGTCGTTGCCACCGGTCGGGCAGGCGCGCTGGCTGCGGAGCCGACGCCCCCTCCTCGTTGCGCTCGGCCCGGCCCCGCCTCAGCGCCCGCCTCCCCTCCCCTCCCTCCCGCCCCCCCCTCCCCACCCTCCAGCGCAAGGCCGGGAGCGCGGGTTGCGAGCGCGGCGGCAGCAGCAGCCTCTCCGCCCGAGCCAATCAGGCCTTCCTCCGCGCCGCTCCGGCAGCCGCTTTTTCCAGGCAGCGCGAGGGCTTTTCCCGGCTCCCCGGCAGCCCCTACGCAGGCTCCTTCTGGCGGGAGGGCCTCCCTTTCTGGTTTGCTTTTCGAGAGAGACAGAGACCCGGCGGCGGGAGCTGCGCGCAAGAGCTCAAGGCTGCCCCTCTCGCCCGACGCGGGGCGCCTTCTGAGGGTGCAATGCCCTCGCCCTTTCGGGCTCCTCACAACGGGAGCCCCAAGTGTCTTTCCAAGCCCAGGCCCCTTTTCTCCCCTTGAAAACGAAAGATTACCCCTCCCAGAGCAGCGGGGCGAATTGCCGAGCCTATACCTATTTCCCCACCCTCACAGACACACATAGCTACCTCCTATGGTGGCTCCCGTTGTCGTCGCCACCCCGCATCAGGAAAAAAAGATCCCACAGCAGCAGCAGCATCCTTTCCTCTCCTCTCCTCTCCTCTCCTCGTCCGTACTGCCCGGAGTTCATTGCAGCAGATATCAAATGTGCAAGATTTCCCATCTCTTCCGACCCCTCCTTTTAGGCATTTTTTTTTCTTCGTAAAAAAAGAATTATTTATAGAGAGCACCAAGGTTTCCACGTTTCAATCCTGAGCTTCATATGTTATTTTCTATCACAGTCATTTGCCCTGCTGCTATTGCCCAAGTAATTTTTTTTTTACTGGAGGGGATGCAGATACCTATTTAAAAACAGAATAAGATTTACATACATACATACATACATACATAAGCTGTCTGAATTCAACAGGGATATTTATAACTTTAAATCCCTGACTTTAGATGGACAGATGCATGTCAGCCCAAAGAACAAAAAAAATAATAAAAATGGAAAGGTAGGCTATAAATAAGTATTCACAATTTTTTCATCTTTTACTCCACTTGGGGCATGTTTGCATGGCATCTTTTCTACCCTGCAGTTATTCCAAACCATTTTGAAGCCAGCTGGAATGCTCTTCAAAATGCTCTGAATATCTCTCTCTATCATGTCTCTGAATAATGAAAAACTAGAAGGCAGTGTGAGTCAGTCTCTGCTTTGGAGGAGAAGAGAGTGCAAAAATTGGCATTCTGGATGCCAAGAAGAAAATACAACCAGAGGAGACTGTAAAAATTGGCATTCAGTGAATGCTGTGCCATCTGAGCTGGTATACATCCTCAGATAACAAGAATGTCCCGAGTTTCATTTCCTAAAAGTAAAAAATTCTAGTTCTCTGACTTCCCTAAATTACGTGTCCAGGCCAAATAGCATAACTGTGTTTGCACAGATCTCTTTGCCTCATTTCCACATATGGCTGTGATTTTTCTCACCCTTTCTGCAGCTTCTCTACTACACCTATTGGAGCCCTGCAGTAGAACCTGCTTTGTTAAAGATGCAGGGCAAAGTGATTCTAAGACACCTACCTACCCTACCTCCTGTCTTTACTCTTGGTATAGCCCTGTATGCATTGAGATGCAATGTAATAGATAAAAGGAATAACCCTGAGTAAGAAAATGAAAGTCTGCAACAGGCAAGTCTGGAGCAAGACTGTTAATTGCAAGATTCTGTCATTATAACCTTACAATAAAAGTAGAATTAGTTTGGGTGTCTTTGGCTTCCAAGTTTGATGTATCTTGGAAGGATGATATGCCTCAGGAACACCTTGATACTGTTTTGTTGAATTAAAAAAAAACTCATGATATACTATATATATAATATATATACCATTTCAAAGTGCTTTACAGCACTCTAAGCAGTTTACATAGAGTCAGCATATTGCCCCCAACAATCTGGGTCCTCATTTTTACTGACCTCAGAAGGATGGAAGGCTGAATTAACTGTCTCGATCGAACTCCTGGCAGTGGGCAGAGTCAGCCTGCAATACTGCACTCTAACCACTGTGCCACCATTGCTCTTTAGTGGTTCTGCACCCCACTGTTTCTTTCTGAACCTTTAATGTGGTTGCAGGTGGCCAGAGAGGGATAAGAAGACTCAAGGAATGGGAAGCAAAGCTTCTTTGGGGTGGGAAGGAGAAAAGGATTAAGTTTCTGTACTTTAGCAATTGGTTGACAGGGCAAGGCAAGACATTCTTTCAATCAGCAAATCATCCTCAAGTTCCACCAGCCTTTGCAGAAAAAAATTCTGCTTGTTCAAGTTTCAGATGAGTGGCACATAGCCAGAAAAAAGCTAATTAAACTCTTCAAACTAGCCAACACCATATGATTAGGCAACTCCAGAGCCAACTTTGCACTGGCACAAACTCATTATGCAGCAATGCCTCCATGCAAAATCAGACACTGTCTCCCCCACCCCTTTTTGTTGCATGATTTTACTTAATGTCCCTAGCCATGAGTGAACAGCCAAGTGCACCAGCATAAAAATATATTGTTTCCTTCTTTAAGGTGGATTCTCCTATTATAGGTTCAAGATGTCTAAAATCTGTAATGGTTTTTGTACCTGTGATCTTGGAGACAAAGTCAGGGGCTGTATTATGAGTGTAAACAGAAGTCTTCCTTCCTTCCTCCTTCCCTCCCTCCGCTTAACTCTAAGCCTATTCTGGAAGTGTGGGCAAGCCACCTTTCTCATTAGCTAGCCTCCAGTGTAGCCATTCAACTATGTGTCTTCTTTGTTAACACCATGTTTCCTGAGTTTCTTTCAGACCTGTTATCCCACCCATCATATTTTTGAAACCATATTCTCCCCAGCAAAGCAGGAAAAAAGTAGACTCTCTTCCCTGCTATTTTATCTGAAGACGAAGAGGGGACATATTAGCATAATTTTGCATTAACAGTGCTTTGAAATGGCATCTGAGAAAGTCATTATAGTATCATTAGCTGTAGCAGCCACATTTTGATTCAGTGCAGTATCTGGAAAATAATAAAAAATATCACATTAGGAGTTTGTTGCTTCTTTGCAAGTTTCTTTGTTATTTCTCCTCCCATCCCCAAAGGAGACCAGCATCAAGTCAGTTTCAGCTACTGATTTATAGTACTTTGGTCATTTTTTTAAAAAAATTGATTTATATGCCGCCCTTCTCCGGAGAGTCAGGGCAGCTTACAATGCGTTAAGCAGTGGCCTTCATACTTTTGTATATTTATACAAAGTCAGCTTATTGCCCCCACAAACTGGGTCCTCATTTTACCTATCTTAGAAAGGATGGAAGGCTGAGTCAACCTTGAGCCTGGTGAGATTCGAACTTACAGTAATTGCAGACAGCTGGTGTTAATCACAATGCTTTTAGTCTGCTGAGCCACCAGGCCCTTATTCATTGTACATTTGTGGGGCAGGCTGCCTCTATTTCAGCCTGGGTATCTTCTCTCCTTTTAAAATTCCATTGCAGATAGTTCTTAACAACCATGCAACTGTTCCAAGTTATGATAATACTGAAAAATGTGACTTGTGACTGCTCCTTGCAGTTATGACCATTACAGTGTCCCTGCATGTAATTTTGATTTGAGCATTTGGCAACCATTACACATTTATGATGGTTGCCGTGTCCCACTGTCATGTAATTATCACTTGTAACTCCAGATGATTTCCAACAAGCAAAGTCAATAGAGAAGCTGATCGGAAGTTGCAAGTCAACAGTCACATGATTTCTTGCTTAATGACCATGGGTGATTCACTTAACAACCAGGACTGCTGGAACTGTCATTGCTAAGTGAGGTGGTAACATGATGTTTCACTTAACTACTGCTTCATCTTGCAACATAGTTGTCATAATAATAATAATAATAATAATAATAATAATAATAATAATAATAATAATTGGGGTCATTAAGCAAGGACTACCTGTATTTTAGTTAGGAGATGCCAAATGAGAAATATTAGAAGATGCTGACGAATCAGAGTAGAGAATCCCAGGGAGAATTAGGTCAGATTTCACACTGCCCTCAATGTTTGTCCCCTCAATGTTTTCCACATTGACTAATTACATTTATTCATTCATTTATTTATTCAAAACATTTAAATAGCCTGCTGTTACTTGAAATAGAGCAAGGAATGAATCATATGGATCAGCCATGGATGCAGCAAAATTTTAGGTGTTATTATTTTGTGTTGTCTCAAGTTGGCTAGATAGGACTTCAACTCAACTGATGAATGGGGAAAATCCATAAAATCATTGCTTTGGAAGGGGACATTTAAGCCATTGAATCCATTGTATGGGGTTTAGTCTGCATTATACAGTTTGAACACAACCAGTGAAAGGAAATTTATCACCTCCCTTGGGGTCAAACGTTTGCAATCAGAATCTACCTTCCTTTAACTTTAAATGCACCATTCTGTATCGTACCCGCTGAAATGATAAGAGAACAGGTCTTGACCTACTGTCTGTGACATTCTTTCAGATGCTAGAAAAGTGCTTATTATATTCCTTCCCTTATCTTTTCTGAAGATTCAATTCCCAAATCCTTCCATTTTTCTTCATAGATCTTAGTTTTTAGATCCCTGAACCCATATCTCTTTCCGGCATCTTTTCAAATTGCACTGAATCAGTCTGAAAACATGATGCCCAGAGTTGGACACAGTATTCAAAGTGGGATCAGAAGAAGAAGATGATGATGATAACAACAACAATAACAATAATAACATTACATTTATAAAGGCAGAATGTAGTGTAATTTGGAAATGAAGTTGCAGGTAAAATTGTGTTTGTCATGAAAGCTGCCTCATTATATGTGATCATTGCTTAAACACTCAAATTGCTTTTAATATGTTTATTTCTTTATTTATTTGTTGTCTACACCAAGACAGTTTACTCTCCCTTGTTCC